CCACTTGCTTTGAAATTGGCATTTTCTGTTAGGGTATGTCTAGACTGCATCCCCCTGCCGGCAGAGGGATGCAGATTAGGCAGGTCGACATTGCAAATGAGTCAGGGATTTAAATATCCCGCGCCTAATTTGCATTAAAATGGCCTCTAAATTTTGCCAACTCAGCACTTTGTTGGCAAAAAGTGGCAGTCTAGTGGGGGATCTCTTGAGAAAGAAAGCATTTTTCAATAGATCTCTTATGCCTCCTGCAAGGAGGTTTACAGGATCTGTTGAAAAAGGCTTTCTTTCTCGACAGAGACCCCTCTAGACTGCCACTTTTTGCCAACAAAGTGCTGAGTTGGCAAAATTTAGAGGCCATTTTAATGCAAATTAGGCGTGGGATATTTAAATCCCTGCCTCATTTGCAATGTCGACCTGACTAATCTGCATTCCTCTGCTGGCAGGGAGATGCAGTCTAGTCATACCCTTAAAGTTCTTAAGTCCTTCATTAGCATTTCACAAGATTCCTTTCAGGGGTTATTTAGCGTACGCAATGTAAAAGTTGGGTAGTACATTATAACAGGGACAGATATGTGAAAAATATGCAAGTAACATTCCATTAGTTTTCATGGAGTTTAAACACCTGAATATTCTCTTACATTTACACTCATTTTGATTTATAGTAATACACCAGTGAATTGCTCTTTGGCCCTAATTTGACCTGTTCTGCCAGCATGACAGTCAAAAAATAATTTTCGGCCAGAAAAATGTTTTACTAGAAAATGTGACCACCTCTAAATATAATTTTACATTTTAGGAACTGCAGTAGTGCATTCATAGAATCATAGAATCATAGAATAATAGGACTGGAAGGGACCTCGAGAGGTCATCGAGTCCAGCCCCCCGCCCTCAAGGCAGGACCAAGCTCCGTCTACACCATCCCTGACAGATGTCTATCTAACCTGTTCTTAAATATCTCCAGAGAGGGAGATTCCACCACCTCCCTGGGCAATTTATTCCAATATTTGACCACCCTGACAGTTAGGAATTTTTTCCTAATGTCCAATCTAAACCTCCCCTGCTGCACTTTAAGCCCATTACTCCTTGTCCTGTCCTCAGAAACCAAGAGGAACAAATTTTCTCCTTCCTCCTTGTGACACCCTTTTAGATATTTGAAAACCGCTATCATGTCCCCCCTTAATCTTCTTTTTTCCAAACTAAACAAGCCCAGTTCATGTATTAAACAATACATTCTCATACCCCCCACATGTGGGATTTTTCTTCCCCAAATGACATTAGTGGTGCAACCCAGACAATATTCCATACTGCCTCTGTGCAGAATTTAATGACCAATACCTAGTGACCTGTTAGGGGAGAAGAAATCCCCATATTTACAATGTCAAAGAGCATTCACTTCTCTCTCTTGTAGGTCGCAAGACAGCTGATCTTAAAGCTGTGATATTCTGAAATATAAAGGGGGTTGTAGAAATAGCTAATATTAATTATTTAATTACATGTATTAGATGTGCTCTGATTGGTCTTCATGTTTGTGCGAGCAACGATCCCATTAAAAAAGGTATAAGTAGCACAAGAGCAGCAAATTAAAGTGTGGCCCAGCTCCTGCAACATATTTAGGTGCCTAACTCCCACTAAGGTCAATTAACTTTATCTTTGAGGATCTGGGCTTGTAAACCAATCAGGGCACAGATTATATCTCATTACGTGTTTATATAGTATCTAACCGTGACCTGATCTCGATGAGGGTTTCTAGGTGTTCCTGTACTCCAAATAACAGATAAGAAAAATAGAAATGTTTTGGCAATATGCTGCAATATGCTAAGTATAGCCTCATGTTTACAAGCTTCAGGGGGTAGCCAAGTTAGTCTGTACAGGATAAACTTAAAAAACAACAAATGGTCTGGTAGCACTTTATAGACTAACAAAACATGTAGATGGTATCACGAGTGAAGAAGTGGGCTATTCCCACGAAAGCTCATCATACCATCTACATGTTTTGTTAGTCTATGAAGTGCTACCAGACCATCTCATGTTTACGCTCTAATAATAGCCGATGCTGCAAAATCTTTTCAGTAGCAATGGAAACTAAATGGGAGACTTACAATATCCCACTCCTGGTGAGTGGCTCAAAGCCCCCATGCCACAAGGAAATTGGACCAACAGGGTAAGAACATCCATGTGTTGATTAGATAGACATGAGAGGCCCACAAAAGAATGTCCCAATAGAAAGGTCTATAGTAGTCACCTGTCTTTGCTGTTTGCTACTCTCAGTTTCCCTGCATTTATGGCTCTGCTTGTTGTTTGGATCTGACAGGGATGTGGCTTCCCAGGCTTCCATCTTCTGTATGCACAATCATTCTTGGCAAATGCACTGAAACATGTCATAGCCTGTCTTGTTGTGAAGCCTTCAGCAACATTTCCCTGGGAAGGTGGCATATCCAGTATCTGTATGCATTCTTGCAGGGACGGGAGAAGAAAGGCCATAAAGTCAGTATTTGCTCACAGATCTGTCCACTCTGGATCTCTAATAAACAACAGCATGAGGACAAATGATCTGGAGAAAGGGGTAGGCAGTGAGGTGGTAAAATTTGCGGATGATACCAAACTGTTTAGGATAGTCAAGACAGAAGCAGACTGTGAAGGACTCCAAGAAAATCTCACCAAACTGAGTGATTGGGCAACAAAATGGCAAATGAAATTTAATGTGGATAAGTGTAAAGTAATGCACATCGAGAAAAATAACCCCAACTATACGTACAGTATGATGGGGGCTAATTTGGCTACGACAAATCAGGAAAGAGATTCTGGAGTTATCGTGGACAGTTCTCTGAAAACTTCCACGCAGTGCGCAGCGGCGGTCAAAAAGGCAAATAGGATGCTAGGAATTATTAAGAAAGGGATAGAAAATAAGACACAGAATATCTTAGTGCCCCTGTATAAAACTTTGGTACGCCCACATCTGGAATACTGTGTACAGATGTGGTCTCCTCACCTCAAAAAAGATATTTTGGCCTTGGAAAGGGTTCAGAAAAGGGCAACTAAAATGATTAGGGATTTGGAACGGGTCCCATATGAGGAGAGGTTAAAGCGACTGGGACTTTTCAGTTTAGAAAAAAGGAGACTGAGGGGGTATATGATAATGAGGTCTATAAAATCATGAATGGTGTGGAGAGGGCGAATGAAGTAAAGTTATTTATTAGTTCCCATAATAGAAGAACTAGAGAACACCAAATGAAATTAATGGGTATCAGGTTTAAAACTAATAAAAGAAAGTTCTTCACACAGCGTGTAGTCAACCTGTGGAACTCCTTGCCAGAGGAGTCTGTGAAGGCTAGGAGTATAACAGAGTTTAAAGAGAAGCTAGATAATTTCATGGAGGTTAGGTCCATAAAAGGCTATTAGCCGGGGATAAAATGGTGTCCTTGGCCTCTGTTTGTCAGAGGCTGGAGAAGGATGGCAGGAGACAAATCGCTTGATCACTGTCTTTGGTCCACCCTCTCTGGGGCACCTGGTGCTGGCCACTGTCGGCAGACAGGCTACTGGGCTAGATGGACCTTTGGTCTGACCCAGTATGGCCATTCTTATGTTCTTATGACAGGGGAACTCTCCTACACTTGCCATAGAAGAATTTTTTAAAAACCAGGACATTTAAAAGATGCTCTTTCAGAAACCAGGATTTCTGCGCTAGGAGTCGATCTTCCTGAATCAGAGCAGTGCTCCATCTAGCCAATATCCCGTCTTTAAGACTGGCCAGCACCAGATGAAGGGGTAACAAGTGCCACAGTAGCAGTAGGAAACCAGTCTGTAGGAAAAGCTGCTGGCTGATCCCTACAAAGGTTGAGACGCCCTAAAGCATGAGGTGTTTTATCCATTCCAGAATTAATTCATTTAAAACAAAATAGTTGCAACAATGCTGAATAGTCTTGTTACTTAGGTCTGGCTGATTTTCAAATCCTACTAAGTGCTTGTGTAACCCACACAGTTGTGGGTGTGGTGCAGTGTCCCATGCAAAGGCACTTAGACCCCTTACAATAGGAAGAATGAGTTTGCTCTATAGACCGAATTACGAGCCAGGTGGCTTTTAGCTCAACCCACAGAGGCTCATGCACCGAGATCCCAGGTTCGGTTCTGCCTATTGGCATTACACTTGGCCTCAGCGGTGGCAATGATTGCTGCAAGCTAATTATGCACGGCCTGAACAAAGTATTTTCTTTCATCTGTGTTCAATATACTCCCTGTCAATGTCATTGGAAGGGCCCGTGTTAATGCATTATGAGTAGTGCAGGTGTAACCCACACACCTCCTGGGTGTGGTGTACTGTTCCATCTAGAGACACTGAAACCCCTTAGGGAGAGAATGAGTTTGCTCTACAGCCTTAGCATTAGCAACCAAGTAAGTATGTGGGTTACCCAGAGCAGAGCCCAACTTTCCTTCTCTGTACCAGTTACTAAACTGTATAACTTTCTCATGTCCCCAGGACTTACTCATATTCTCTTGTAGCTAACTTAGCTACTACCAAAATTTTCAAATTTGCAAAGTCCCTGCAAACAGGAGGCACAATATTCTCTACAGAGGCTATTTTACAACTAAAACTAAAATGGTTGCATATGGGTAAAATTTCAATACTGTGCCCTTGGGTTTTAGCCAGATTTGCTAAGGCACAGAGAGTGGTACATTTAGGAGCATGCCAGTAAGAAATTAGGAATATTGCAACTCTTATCATTCTGCCTGAGCCTTGCACAATTTCTTTCTGACACGATATTTCAGAACAAGCCCCTGAAACGTTAGCATTTAAAAACTGACAAGATCTGTCACTGACCCTTGTTTGTAATTCCCCTGTGAACTGAATTCTTAGATTTCAGCCTAGTAGGCCATGAAATGTACAATGTAGCAATGTCAAATATCATGAGCCACTCAGGCGTCTGCTGAAATGAATATGGTTGGGAAATCAGACTCCTTGTTATATCCAGGCAGATGATTCATTCTTCTCCTGGAACTGGGACTTGCCTCTGCATGTTTTGCAATGCTAACTAGCTTCATAACAGCATGACTGTGTGCTGTGATTCCGACCAGATTTCTCAGGAAACATCGGAGCGAGGAGCAAGCTAATTCCTGAAACAATGGCATTCGCTTTTAGACAATTGTTCCTGCTAGCTGCCGATTTAATGCTCGCCTTGGCTCTTTCCTGCTTTCTGTATGCTTTTGTGTGCCTCTGCATTGCATTCCTGACCTGCTTTGTGATCGTGGTCTCCTTAGGCATTATGAAGAAAATGGAGAGAAATATTGACATCAAAGGAAGAGCCATTGTGATTCTAATGTCCAACAGCTCCATCGGGCGGACGTTTGCCAGGAACCTGGATGAGGCAGGTTTCAGAGTGACCACTGCATGCTGGCCACCTGAAAGAAACTGGGCAAAGGTTCTGAAGAGGGAGTGTTCGCCAAACACGAAGATGGCACAGCTCCATATCTCGGAGGACGAGTATAAGATGACATTGAAAACCTTGATAGAAAAGCACTTGTCTCTGAAAGGTAATATTTAGGGCAAGACTGTGCTTGAGTGTCCTAATTTACCAGCAAACTAGGAAGGCAGCAGTAAGCACAGATCTCTTTTTTACTTCGATCTGCTAAGGAAAATAGACTAGTCAATTTCACTTCTAGTTCTCATGCACAAAAAGGCAAACCCTGGTGCTAATGCCGGTGGAGGGTTCTCTAGCAGCAGGACTGTAAGCCATTCCATAGCACCAGGTGTGAGCAACCCAAGGCATGGAAGAGACTGGGCCTCTTGCTGGGCAGATTCTCTGCTCCTTCGTTCCATGGCCTGGGTAAATATGGGTATATGGGGCTTTTCAGCTTAGAAAAGAGACTAAGGAGCAGGGGGTGAGGGTGGAGGGAAGGAGGTATGATAGAGATCTACAAAATCATGACTGGTGTGGAAAAAGTGAATAAGGAAAAGTTATTTCGTTGTTCCCATAACACAAGAACTAGGGGGTCACCCAATGAAATTAATAGGTAGCAGATTTAAAACAAAAGGAAATATTGCGTCCACATACTGTCAACCGATGGAACTCCTTGCCAGAGGATGTTGTGAAGGCCAGGACTTTAACGGGGTTCAAAAAAGAGCTAAATAAATTCATGTAGAATAGGTCCATCAATGGGTATTAGCCAGGATGGGTAGGAATGGTGTCCCTAGCCTCTGTCAGAGTAGGGGAATGGGTGACAAGGGGCAGATCACTTGATGATTATCTGTTGTGTTCATTCTCTCTGGGGCACCTGGCATTGGCCACTGTTGGAATATAGGGTTCTGGGCTAGATGGACCTTTGGTCTCCCAGTATGGCCATTCTAGTGTTCTTATGGGCACAGAGGGCTAGGGCCACCTCTGAAGAGGTCACGCTGATAGGCTGGAGGAATGAGCAAGAGATGAAGAGATTTGATCAGTGCCCTAGGGAAAGGCGACGTGCCTGGTTTCCACAGATTCCAAACATGGGGAGAGAGCATGTAATACAATTGACAGGTACTTTTTTCCCCCTCTCCCTTCTTTTTGTGTTATAAAGTCTGACCCTGTCTTTTTTCTGCACTTGAACTCATCTGAAGACGTGGGTTTTGCCCACAAAAGCTCAAGATACTATGTATATATTTTGTTAGTCTCTAAAGTGCCACAGGAATACTCATTGTTTTTAAAGTTACAGACTCACACGGCTACCCCTCTGAGACATTTTGGCTAAAAAAGTGCAGTCTCTCCTTTCGTCATGCTGTCAGTGCTGTCTAGCCGGAGGGGGTGTTTAAAGAAAAAGGGAGAATTTTAGGGTTATATTGAGGGGTAGGATCCATCCTGATACGGGCCCGTTGGATTTGAATGATCTTTGTAAGTGGTTGTACATGTGTCTAGTGGTTTAAGTAGGATCCTTTTTAAAAATCAAAAAATAAAATGAAAAAAATCTCTAGGGTTATAATAGGTGAGACCAACAAACATTTTGGAAGGGATATGAAACCTCAGACTTCAGGATTTATGCCAATCTTTAACTACCAGCAATCAGGAGACAAGTTTTGGCACCGCCAAATCAAGAAGGTTGTTGGTAAATTGGAGAGGGTTCAGAGAAGAGTGACCTACTGCCAAATCAAGCAGATTGTTGGTAAATTGGAGGGGTTCAGAGAAGAGTGACCACAATGACTGAACAATCAGAAAACTTACCTGCTAACGATGGACTCCAGGAGTTCAATCTATTTAGCTTAATGAAGGTTCAGAAACACCCTGTGTCCAATCTATAAATACCTATCTTGGGAGCAAACATTTCATAATGGGCTCTTCCATCCAGCCAAAAAAGGTCTAATGGCTGGAAGGTGAAGATGGACAAATTCAGACTGGAAATAAGGTGTACATTTTTTGACAGTCGAGTAATGAGCCATTGAAATAAGTTACTAAGGGTCATGATGGATTCTCTATCAGTGGGCATTTTAAAATCAAGACTGGGTGTTTTGATTAAGGTATTATCGAGGAATTATTTTGGTTAGGTTCCATGGGCTGTTGACTAGTTGATCACAGTGGACCCTTATTGGAATCCATGAATCTAATATGGGGATAGATTATCCCAGATCTGGCTACTGCCGAGGTTCTGCAGCTTCCACAGAAATTACCTGGTGTCAATGACAGAATAACGTACTGGATAGACCTTGGATCTGATTCTGGCCGGCTATTCCTACATTCATGACAGTGTAAATTATTTGAATGCCTGCTTTAAGGCCCGTTTACACTCACATAGTGGTAGAAGAGAACTTCAGTGCATGCATGAAATTGTCGGGTATTTTATGAAATTAACCAGATGCCTTGGTCACGTTGCAGTCTGTGCAGGCATCCTCATGTGTTTATAAATCCTACCAGAATCCCTGCATGCGTTAAGATCTACAGCGGTGTTGCTGCAGGTCCAAATATGCATTGCTAAAGCCCACAAATATTTTGGGACAGATTCTCAGTGGCCTTAGTGAGCTGTTGATTGTGCTAGAAGTCTTACTGACAGCAGTGTGAATATAGAGTGAAAGCTTTGTTATCCGGCACTCTGTTAACCGGAATACTTTGTTAATCGGCATTGCCCCCAGCCTAATATCGCCACACCTTCAGCTGTGCATACCTGACTCTTGATTGTCCAGCCACCTGTTATGGGGCTTTTGACAGCTGGTACTGCCGGCTGACGTGATCAGCAGGCACCTCCTTCCCCCACACCTGCCTCCAGTTCCCAGGAGCAGAGGCAGAGCAATAAGCTTTGTTATTGGGTACTTTCAATTAACCAGCAACCCCCATTTCCCATCAGTGCTAGATAACAAAGCTTTCACTGTAGTATGACTATTTACCATCATCTCCAGGTGAGTAGGATGCCACAGGTTGGATAAGGGAACCATTTTGTTTAGGATGCAGGGGAAGATATAATCAGTCTACATGGCTAATAGGTTTCTTCATCCCTATGAAAAAATCAGTCATGCTCTTTTCCCCAAAAGGGTAGCATGATACATAGCTCAGCCTGAGACACATTCTGAGGCTGGAAAAAAGGCAGCTCTCACACAAAGACGACACACTGTTTACGAATAGTCGAGCAACTGCAGTCATTCTGTGGCCTGTGTTGTACAGGAGATCAGATTTGGTGAACAGAGTGCTCCTTTCTGGACTCAAAAAATTATGACTCTGTCAAGCTTTAATGCCCAGCTCATGCAGGGAACAGGTCTAGTGAAAGATCCTCTTGCCTAGGCCATGTGTCATCTATGTGTCATGCAGCTCCTGGCAGGTTACACAGCCCTGTCTTTCTCCACAGGCATGCTGTTTTGCCAAACCCCGGTGAGCAGAAAAACACGAGTCACCTGCCGAAAAAACATCTGACGAAGTGGGTTTTACCCATGAAAGATCATGGTCCTATCTATATATTTTTGTTTGTCTCTAAGGTGCCACAGGACTACTTATTGTTTTTAAAGTTACAGACTAAAATGGCTACCCCTCTGAAAAATCATGAGACTGGTTTAAAAATAATGATTTTTAAAAATGGGAAATGTTGGGTCTTTTTTAATTTGTATTCCAGAATTTGACCCTTTGGGGTGCCCTTAGGCCACTATTTTAAGTTTTTCTTTGAAACCGTAAGAGCTAGAAACTTACATTTCATTTAGAGAGAGAGAGAGAGAGAGAGAGAATCATGTGCCTCCAGGAGCTGGGGTCTAAGGGTACGTCTACACTACACACTTATTTCGGAATAAGCTATTCTGGAAGAAATACTCTGCACTATAAGGAAGCCTCAAAATTAGTCCGAGGCAGATTCCTGCAATGTGGACATGCTACCTCGATTCAGAGCCCCAGGAAGCAATAGGGAGTAATTACTCTGAATAGCCCTGGGGAGGAGCTATTTCGGAATAACTACAGTGGAGCATCCATGCTACCGCTATTTCGAAATAGCCATTTCAGAAGAGGCGTTATTCCTCGCGGAATGAAGTTTACAGAAGTCGGAATAAGCCGTCTGTTTAGAATTCATTTTGAAATAACGGAATTGCCGTGTAGACGCTTGCATTGTTATTTCGGAGTCATGGCCGTGATTCCGAAATAAGGCAGCTGTGTAGACGCACCCTAAGAAAACCATCCAATGCTGCAAGAGCTGCTGACGTTGCATGAATGGATCTGGGGTCCAGTTGCTAGAGGGACTGCTGTTAACCATGTGTGTGCTGCCGCCTGGACAAACTGCCTGGGACTGCTATGCCTTGTTGAGGTCTTTCAATGCTTGTGGGGAGCACCAGAAAACAAGGAAGAACTGGGGAGATCCTTATGCATGTGAAGCAGCCCCTCCTCTACCCCAGAAAAGAGATGGGCAAAACAGAACACAGCTCTTGCCAATCAGCCTGATTAATTCCTCTAGTGCTTTTCACCATGGCACCTAGCCACCCTCTGTCACCAGGCTGTGGGGAGTCCCTGGGCCCCACACCCCCATCCACACCTCTCAGCCAAAAAGTAGAGCAGAAGGTTTATTACTCCACAGAGACACAGCATAGAACAGACTTGTCAGTACAAACACCAGAAGCAGCCAGCGCCATCCATCTTGGGGAGAAGGGGAACCAGAGCCAAGGCCCTCAGCCCCCTCCTTGTATCCTAAGCCAGCTGAGACTCACTCACACACTCAGCAACCCGCCCCAGCCCTGCAGGCAGCACTACCGCCTCCTTTGTCCAGCTTCCCCGGGGCAAAAGGTGTCACCTGGTTGCACCCCCTCTCCCAGGCTCCGCTTACAGAACGCCTTGGCCATTGTGTACATGCTGGGGCTGGAGCAGCCTCCCTCAGTGCGTCACACCCAAAATTCCCATCCCCATCTAGGTATTGGTGCAGTGCTCAGGGAAACTGAGACACGCACACCGGGCCACTACAGGACAGCAGAAATCACATGCAACACAACAAAGCGAGCGGAGCCAATGCAGTCCCCACCTCATCACACCCTCCTAAACACAGGAATTAGGGAGCAAGGCCCAAAGGGTTAGTCAGCTGCGCAGTGCAAAGCAGGACTTGTTGCATCCTGCCCTCAAGGTCACCTGGGCCTCACTTTTGCCAAGTGGAGCAAATTCCAGAGGCAGCAGCTCTCCAGCAAGGCCTCTCAGCTGACAGGCTCAGAGGTCTCGGATTTCTCAGAGGATTTTAACAGCCTACAGGATGAGCGATGCTTTCAGTTCACCCAGTCCCAGACGGGACAGATTTTAAAGCTCAGAGTTGCCAGATAGTTTCACAAAAAATACTGAATATGGTGGGGAAAAAATTGGTTGCGCAAAACAAACAAACAAACAAACAAAAACTACACACACACACACACACACACACACACACACACACACACACACACACACAAAAGAGTCATGGCCCTTTTAAATCTCCACACACTCCCACACTCCCCTTGCACCCGCCAGACACAGTGGGGAAAGAATGTCCCAAGTGACCTTTCATCCGAGAAAAACAGAAAGTACTGGACATTTTACATGTCTGATATTCTGTTTTTTTACCGGACACATGCCACAAATACCAGGCTGTCCGGTCCAATACCCTGTCCTGCAGCATGAATGGCACAGCACCCAGTGCAGACGTGAGCACAAGTGTCCTGCATCCGTGCTGGTCCATGTCACTCAGAAGATGGGAACTTGGACCCTGATCCTGCCGTAAGCTTCTGTGGGCAGATACACATGGCTCCATTGACTCCAGCAGGGCTGTGTGTGTGTGTGTGTGTGTGTGTGTGTGTGTGTGTGTGTGTGTGCAGGGCTGGATTAAGGCATGGGCTAGCCGGGCAGCTGCCCGGGGCGCCAACCTATGGGGGGCACATAGTGCCCCTTATAGTTGCCATCAGGCGCTGCACGCCCGGCTCCCGGATCGCAGGCTGCAGCAGCTCCCAGCAGCCCCCCTGCAGCAACTGCCTGGGGGGGGGGCCGGGGT